GGAGGGTCGCGTCACCCGAGAGAGCCACTGGAGGGGGCGGGGGCGGTCCATTAACATCATGGGGAGAGCTCTCCCCCGGGTTGAGAGCCGCACGCTGCCTGGTGCAGCCACGTTGGTGGGCAGCTGCTGTGAAGAAGCTTCATGCATTGGCCGAGTGGATTTTCTGGGCGGTGGGGGGGAGGAATGGTGTCAAAGGCTTTGTCCAAAGCGCTACTCCCCTCCCCGTGTGCCGTGGGCTTGCATCGCAGGTGGGGGAGCAAGATGGTTTCAGTCTTTCATCTCCTGGTGGTGGGTTCAAATCCAGCCCCAGGTTGATCATAACAAAAGGTCATTACTGGAGGGGGGGCTGCTTGGCCTATGGGACTTGTTTGGCTCTCGGTCCAGTTGTGCATCTGCCCTCTGCCCCGCCCCTGCTGGGGTGGTACAAACCAGGACCCAGCCGAGAAGCCCAGGGGATCGTGGGGAATAAACTCCCATCTCGCCCCTCAGGCCTCCTCCCTGGGGACAGGGCTGAGACGCATCGCAGAGCGTAAAGGAAACTTCTGCGCCCATTGTGCCATGACGCGAGGCTGCGGGGCTGCCAGCCCAGGCCTTCCCGGGTGCCCCCGAGCCGGGTGTTTGGAGACCCTCGCCCCAGGCACCGAGGTGGGAGCCACGTGGGTGATGAGCCAGGATCCAGGGGAGAATGGACAAAGGGGCAGGAGGGTGTCCGGGGAGGTGCTACCCGAAGGGGTGGCTCTGGCATCCCTCTGCCATGGGGTACCCGCCCCAAAGCAGCTCCCCTCTGCACTGCCCCCACCCCTGCCCCCTTCATTTGCATATGGGAAGGATGACCCACAGGAAGTCAGGGGGGAGAGAGAAGGGAATTGGCCTCTTTAGATCTATTAAATCACTTTATTACAGGAACCAGGTTTGAATGGCCCTTCCCGGCAGGGGGTGAGTCTCCTTCTCTCTCCCCCTTTATCTGATCACAAAGAGATTAAAATCTCTGCCGGCCAGGAGAGAGCAGGGCTCCTCCAAGCTTCCAATGAGGCATTGGGTCAGATCTCCCAGCCGTCTGGCCGGGCACTGGAGATGGGCTCAGTGGGGGCCGCTGGGGAGGCAGGGGGAGGGATCCCCGGCCTTCAACCAGGATGCCACGAACTGAAATGCCTGGTCAGTTCCCCAGCTGGTGCGAATCGGCAGGCGCCAGGGCAGAGGCGGGTTCCACCCGCTGGGGGAGAGCGGCTCAGGGGGACCCCAGGGGGCTGGCACGTCTCCGGGGCAGGTTTGAGTTCGTTCCTCCGCGCTCCCAGGGGGTGAGCCCCTGTTGGTAGCCCTCCCACCACGAGCGGTGGGTGAATCCATCTGGCAAGACAATTCAAGCCTGGCACAGAAAGGGACCCATGAAGCAGCCTGCTGGGGCCGCTGGCCCCCGCAGCAGGAGATGCCAGCCAAAGGGGACTTGAACCACGCCCGCGAGGGCCTAGGCTCTCTTGGAGACGCTGGTCTGCAGCCTCAGCTGGGAGGCGGAGGGCTGAATGGGCCATGGAGACTGGACTAACGTCTCAAGCCGGAGAGTGGTCCCATGGCGCAGGGCATGAGGGGGGAGGCTTTCCAGGGTACCAGTGGGGCACAAAACGGAACAGCAGGGACTCCGGCCCTTCTCTCCTGCCTTTGGCACTGACTGGCGCCATGATCTCAGGCAAGGGAGTCCTCTGTGCCTCAGTTTCTCTGTCAGTGAAAGCAGAGCTCGGTTCCCTGGCAGGGTTTTCTATCCCCATCTGTGGCCAGCGTCTCTCACCCTCTGCCCCTTCCCTCTTCCTTAGGGTGCGGGGAGACTAAACGTTTGTGAAAGGGCTTTGAGACCCCTCAGATAAACTAGGGGACGTCACCTCGGAGTGCTGTAAAAACCAAACCCAGCCTCACCTTCAAACAGAAAGATGATTAAAAAACCCGGCTGGAGGAATGGATGGAAGCCCCAAAGGAGAGAATGGGACAGAAATAGTTAACTCTAAAAACTAAACTAACCCGAACTGACGGGTCACTTTAAACAGCCCCCTTAGGAAAATCACCAGGTCCCTGACTTCCCCCATCTCAGAGTCCCCTCTCCAAGGAAATCACAAGGATTAATGCTTCCCTGGTATTTCATGTACCTTCCCGTCCGCTGCCCAGCACACGGTGTGAGTGGCAGTGTGGTTTGAGGGGCAGGTGTTGGACTCGGTGTAAGGCAATTCCCACCTCCCCGGTGTAGAGGCTGAACGTTCATTGGAAAGTTCACATATGAGCTTGAGGACAGTGGATCCCATGGAGAATTAATCCCCGTGGGTTGGGAGCCGCTTTGGGCTGCTGATTTCAGGGTTGATGTCGCTTTATAAAGCTCCGCTGTTCTGACCATCAATAGCAAAAAAGCGACTGACTGAATGCTGGTATTGCAGTAGGATGCAGCCAGGGCCCATGGCACATGAAAAGTGGCCCCACCAATGTTCCCTCTAATTTTTTCCATCCACATGCAGAATAAATTTTGTTGTGTGCACCGAAGTAGTGTGTGTGTGCACCACCAGTAGAAACACTGCTGCTGGCGGTGGGTGCTCTGCTATTCAGCTGGGCAGCATTGCAATCTCTCCCGGGCTGCCACCCAAGCACCCAGCTTCCAGGGAACACTCGTTCCCACCCAAAGAGCGTAGGGGGGAACAAAGGAGGCTTTAAGCACAGGGCCTGTTGTTATCAATGCTGGATTTATCGCAGCTTTGTGCCAAAGATGTCCTTCCACTGCTGGGGAAAATAGTCCCTCTCCTGAATACCGCTGTTGGGGGAAGAGTGGGAAGTACAAGTATGGAACGAGGAAGGCTCCTTTGCAAAACGAAAGCCAGTTGGCCAAGGATACGGGAGTTGAGAAGCTGCAAAGAAGCTTCTCTCAGCAAGATTAGCAAAGGGGGAGGCTCCTTAGCCAGGTAATGCGTGGCCAGAGAAACAGAACTGGTTGGAATTGAAAGACTTTGGGTCTTGTATCTAATCAGGATGCCAGGTGGGCGGGGCGTTCACCACCAGGTGGGCGGGGCATTCACCACCAGGTGGGCGGGGCGTTCACCACCAGGTTGCTCCTAGCAGGCCTTTGTGATGCTGGATCTGAGTCCTAGGCAGGAGGAGGAGGTCCTGGGAATGGCCGTCAGACTCCTGGGTTGGGCAGAGGGGCAGGAGGCCGCGTTGGCTAGCGATTAGTGCACTAGACCCCAGGGCTCCGTTCCGAGTTCTGCCAGTCTCCAGCTCTCAGGACCCTGATGAGACGTGCAGTGGAGGGGGGGGGGCGAAGCATTGACCGAGAACTGGATTGGATGGTAGCGTCTGGAGACCCCCGCTGCTACTGGGGTTCATTCACGCAAGGCGCCGTGTGGATGCCGAGGGAGACCCCCCTGCCCCAGAGAGCCTGCTGTCCGTGCACATGAGTCAGAGTGGGAGGGGAAAGGCAGCCCTGTGATCCCCATTTTACAGATGGGGGGACCGAGGCCCAGCCACGGTCCCGGTGGCAGGAAATCAAGGCTGCATTCTCAGCGCAGAGCACCAGTCGTGCCTTTACTGCAAGACCAGCATAGGTGCAGGGTAGGTAACGGACTGGAGTGGTAACTCCTGGTCTAGACGAGACCAGGGAGTGCACCGGCAGCAGGAAAACTGAGGCTGGTTGTGGTGTGCTGCTGGCAGTGGCAGTGTAGACAGGGCCCTCGTGTCTTTACCATGGAATTGCCTTTTCATGCTCTGACTGGGACAGAGCCAGGCCGATTTGTTGCACCTTCATCAGAGCATTGTTGCCTGACCAACATTCCCTTAGGCTTTTCCATCCATGCGGGATGTTTTCTATCCATGTGCGGAATAAATTGTGTCATGCGCACAGTGGCATGTGGGGATGTGCACCACCCATAGAAACACAAACCGAGCTGGGGGTGCTCTGCTAAGCAGCTGGGCAGCTCTGGAATCTCTCCTGAGTGGCTGCCCAAGCGCTCCGCTAACAGGGAACCCTGCTCCTGACCCCGCCTGGGCGTGTGCTGCCCCATCTGGTCTGCAAAGCACGTCTCTGGCAGAACCTGCTGCCCCCCATTGTGGCAGGCGGGTTGTTCCCGCGGTGAGAGGCCTGGTCCCTTATCCAGGCGGCGGCTGTTGGTCGCCGCTGGCTCAGGAAATGTCCATTGGATTTAGAGAAAAGAATAAAAGCGACAAACCATCCGGCTGAGCCGAGAGTAAAACCAGTCGCAGGAGAAACAAGTTCTGTGAGGCAGGGAGTGCCTCGTGCTGCACCTCGGGCCCCCCAGTGTTGAGGGCCCCAGGCCCCCTGCAGGGAGCACATTTCACATGAAGCCTAGCCTGCCCTTACTTTGCTTGCTCGGAGCTGGAAGCCAGCAGCCAAGTGCCTGGCCGTGCTCTGACACGCACGAGCTTCCTTCCCGAGGAGTCCGGTCCGGCTTGTGGGTCCCGAGGGGCGTGGCACGTGGGAGCTGTAGTGTGGCTGAGGCCCCGAGTCTGAGTCTGACAATAGGCTGCGGCTGAGATCAGAGCCTCGTTACGGCAGGCACAGAATAGACCAGCGAGGCAGGAGTAGTGTGAGTCCATTTTACACATGGGAAAAACGAGGCACAGAAATTGACTTGCTGAAGATCCCACAGGGAGGCCTGGAGGAGCCTGCTGATGGGGACGGGGCAGTTGCCCCAGGGTCTGGCAGTTAAAAGGAGCCCAGAGCACCTGGTTGGAGCCGCGGTGGCAGCTGGAGCCCCAGACTCTTGAAATTGCTGCCAGTGCACCGTGCTGTGCGCTCCGTGCGGCTCTGAGGGCTGGTGGATGAGGGCGTGGGGGGGGGGGAACTGTGTGACGTGGGGGGCTGGCTGCCCCATCCCTTCCACCTGAGGCCCCACCCTTCCGGGAGTGCTGCCCCCCCCCTTTCAGGGTCCCCTCTAGTTTTTGCATCCATGGGTGGAATGCATTTTGTTATATGCGCCGAGGCCTGAGCAGACGTGCCCCACCAGTAGAAACACAGGCTGCCGGCTGTGGGTGGCTTTGGATGCTCTGCTAATCAGCTGGGCATCTGCCCAAGCGCTCAGCTTACAGGGAACACGACCCCCCCCCCCTTTGCCCAGGGGCCTGCGTAGGCTGCCGGCTCCCCTCCCTCTCAATCCCAAGCCCGGAGGTTAGCTGCCAGACCAGCCTTCCTGGCCCAGGGACTGCTCTGGGGCAGGGCGCCGTGGGGACACCCCCTGAAGCAGCCCAGCAGGCAAGACTGCTGGCCGGCTCGTGTGGCTACGGCACGGTTCCGAGGAAACGACATGCCAGGGATCGGGCCCCGGAGGGGTGTCTTACCCAGCCCAGTTTTTCAACTGTTGAGTTTGGTTGTTGGTGGCCCCAGTGATTGAGTCCACAGTCCCATGGGGCTTGCACGGGGTCCGGAACTCGCCGCTGGCGGGTGAGCTGCGGAGAGCAGCCGGTGCTCTGAGCGCGTGGGCAGGCGCCGGGGAGAGCGGGAGAAATGGTTCCCAAACGGGCGTTTCTGATGTGGGTTTCTGCTCGGCAGCGGCACCACCCGCGAGTGTTCCCTGCCCAGGAACGCCCCAGGCTGTGGCGCTGGAACAGGCACCCTCTACCCTTATCCATGCCCCTTGCTGCCCCGGGCAGGCATCTGGGACCCGCATGTGGGGCTGGTGGTCAGAAGCCCAGGCCCAGTCGCTGGGACCCCAGGAAGGGGGCAGAACCCTGGGTGTGGGGCTGGCTGCGGAGTGGGACCCAGGGCTGGCAGCCGACTGGGACCCAAGGAGGCAGGGACTCCAGAAGGCTGGAGCAAGGGCCAGCAACTGGGACCTCTGGGTGCTAAGGGTGTGGGCTCAGGATGCCCAAAACTGGGGGTGCTGCAGCACCCTCTGCACCCCTCCTTCCCATGCCTGTGCACAGAGGGCCCAGGGGTACCTCAGCCGCTCTGGATACTTGCCTGGGTTCACAGCATTAGCAGAGTCAGCACAGGCCAAAGCCTCACACAGACAGTGCCCTGTTTGCCCTGCTGTGCACACCGCGCCGGATGCCGGCGCTCCCATTCCTGTTGGCGCGTTGGATACGGGGAAGGTAAAACGAGGGAGCTGGGTGCGCTGCGGCCCCTCTGTCTGTCTGAGCTCGCACGGAAACGTTTTGGGCGCGAGGGGAAA